AAGGTGCCCAGTGCTGGCAGGAGGCAAATCCAGGGATTGGGCAGTGGGAGTTTGCACTGCTCCTGGAATGCCAGACCTGGAGCTGTGCTTCAGAGAGCCCAGGAGATGCCGCCTCACTCAAACCTTGTTTAAAGCTCAGCATCCTCCCTGCTCCCTTGGCATTATTGCTGCTCCCTTTGCTGCTCTTGCTTATTATTATTATTATTATTATTATTATTATTATTATTATTATTATTATTATTATTATTATTATTATTATTAATTATTGATGTTATTGATGTAATTGTTACTGTTGTTACTATTACTACTATTACTGTTTTTGTAAACTTCCACTCCATCCCTTTGCTTCCCAGAGGTGCTGCTTTAGGAAAGCCCCTCCAGCCTGGGCAGGAGCTCCTGGCTCCAGACACGTTCCCAGTGCCCAGGAGCAGCAGGACCTATGCTGTTCCCAGCAGGTGAGGCACAGGTGCCTTTCCTTCCTTCCTTCCTTCCCTGCTGCACTTTGGCTTTTTGAGGGGTCTCTGGGGGTCTGAGGGAGAAGTTCTTTGTCACTCCAGGACAGAATTAGCCCTGGTCCCACTAAAAGCAGGAGGAATTATTTTATCCCTGTGTTTGGATACACATCTTGTGTTTGCTCTCTGTTGCTGACACCGTGTGGTGAAGCAGCAGCTCCCAAATTTTCAGTGCTGCTCCCTGGAAGAGGTTTCATTTGTAGAACCACGAATTCCCTGCTGGAATCCAGTCACAGCCCCCAGATCAATGTGCAGTTTAAGGTCTTACACCCTGAGCAGGACAAGTTCCTGTCTCTAGACATGGAAAATGGGGAAAAACTCAGACTGGAGTGGGGCCAGGATGCAGAATGGGGCACTGAGGCAGCGTGCTCAGCCCAGGCTGGGGCTGGCACAGGGGCTGTTCCCTGCTGGATGACACCTGTGTGGAACAGATCCTCCTCTTCCTTTGTCCAAAGTCCAATGGCAAAGGATTCAGGAACTCACAAATGCGGCCTGGAATTAAAATGGCTCTGTTAAAATTAAGTAAAGAATGCAATAATTTAAAATGGTCATCTTTTTAATGTATTAAAATAGTAGGGAATAAAATGTTGACAAGGGGCACTTTTATTTGGTGTCACCTTTCATGTTTTATGGAGTGAGCAATCAGAACAGAATTAGGAAAGCCAGGAGCCTTTGATTTTCAGAGTGGACCTAATTTCCATTTTCTCCTCTCTTTCAGGACAGCAAAAACCACTTAACTCATCCCATCTTTGCCCAGAGCTTTGGAGTTTGAGCAGCCAAACCCAACGGGCTCCAGCTGCACTGGAGGGTCCCTGGTCCTGCCGTGGTGTGGGGTGAGTCCCCAGCTGTCCCCAGAGTGTCACAAACTCAGAGGGATCTGCCCTGGTTTCAGGCTGTCCCTGCAGTCCCCGACGCCT